TTTTGGTATAGAACCATACTTTTTATAAGTTTGAGGTGTACATGTTTTATATTTTTACTCGTCTTATGTGTTTGATGATCGTACTAATGTGTTATATCTTGGATAAGTTGTTTTATAAATATCTTCAATGAAATGTTTTATTTTAATATTTTTATACTATTAAAATGAGATGTTACACTAAAAATTATTATTTTATTTTAATTAATTTAATATTTACGTTAGTTTTGATATTATATATTTATTTGAGTAAAAATATATGTAATGTAATGTATGATTTAAATGAATATAAGATTTTAAGAGGTAATATAGATTTATATGGAATAGAAAAAAAAACGGTAATCGTATTATGAAAGAGTGACGTATAAAATCATTTTAAATAGAAAATTAAACTACTTTTACCATTTATTTTATTTTTAAAGGTAACATAAATAATAGTGAAGTTTTAAATATTGAAATTTTAAAATATAATTATCAAAATCAGAATCTTATTGTATATTGTTACAGATATAATTTTAAATATAAAATAAATTCTTTTAAAATAAACTTTTAATAAATGATATATTGTAATGTAAGTTGATTTATTATGTTTACTTAATTTGTATGGTTTGTCTTCTTTTTTTCTTTTCTTTTTTTATAATTTATCAGCCTACAAACTTTTAGCTCTTTATTTTATCTTTTGTATTTTTAATAAATTTTTATTATTTAATACATATTAATACATAGTTAAAATAGAAGTTAATTAATTCATTGATTTACTGGTTCATGAGTATGGTTTACAGATTAAGTTTCTTAACCATCTAGTCTAGATTTAGTGTCATTTTGTATTTAAATAAATAGTATTGAAAGGAAAAGACATGTGTTGTGTGTGCAGATAACTATTTTTTATTTTAACTTAGTATATAATTAAAATTTCAGATAAATAAGATACAGATGGTATAGAATTCCAATATACATTTTATATAACAAAATATTTTGTTATTAATTGAACATAAAAGCTTTTATGATAATTTAAACACGTGTCTTTATTGTTGTTTCACAGTGTTCATATTTTTCTTTTGGTAACTACACTGTCGTCTCTCTAATGTTTAGTTTAATTATTTTAAAAATTGTTAAAAAAAAAAGAATATCAAAGTTGACACTTCCAATTTACAGAAGCTAAGAAATAGATAAAAAAATATTTATAAAAATAAATATGAACTTTGAACATTTTATACGGGCAAAAAATACATTTGTATTTTTCTCTTATTTTTTAAATTAAGAAATACTTATATAATACAGGGAAAAAATACACTCTAATAATTGAAGGAAGTGTGAACATGTTAAATTGTTCATTATCATGGCTTATTGATGCATACAACAATTAATGTAAAAAAAAAGTAGAAAAGACTTAGAAAAAAAGGAGCAACTTTTGACTTGCTTTTTCCCATGACAAAGTTAGGTCGGTTGCTATATAATATTTTAATTTAGAGGAACATGACTAGGCACAAATCATATTTCAACACAAAAGGAAAAAAACAAGTGGGTAAAGAAAGATAGATAAATCCAAAATATATTTGGCTAATTAATAATTATTGGGTAGGAAACAATTTTCTTTCTTACTCATAAATTTTCAATCCCCAATTTAGCATTATATATTATGAAAATAAATATTTATCTTTATCTTAAATGTAGATTTTTCTTTTTTATTCTGATTTAGTGGATTCGTAAATTTTAAAACATTATGTAAACCAATATCCACTTATAAAAAAAGGGTAAAGGAAAACAAAAAACTATTTTCTTGAAATAAATTTAAATAAAGGAAATTTATATGCATCTATTTAATGATGTTGCACTACGATACAAAAAAGTAAGTTCTTTCTATTCGTAAAGAAACAAATATAAACAAAAAAAGTACTCTACTGCCTTAAAAGACCATCAGAGCATAATGAACTTGTCATGTTTCAAAAAAATCATAGATGAATATGGTTGTTGGAATCGGCAAATTAACTTTTAAGTAGGAATTACAAATTAGTTCAATACATTCATTTTCAAATTAAAGAGTAGATAATCCCAAGTACATTTACTAACAACCGTCTTGTAAAATTAATATGTTGATCAATGTTAGTGATGAGAAGAATGATTTTTAAATAATATGTTTTGTCAATTTCGTAATAATCAATAACAGTGAATGAATGTTTCTAAGTCAATAAAGGATAAAGACTTTATTGCTGAACACAGATCAATTATAGAAGTTGAGTCGATAATTAATGTGTGGTTCAGACTGAAAATAATAATAGAGTTGTATTGTATGTGAGAAACCAGGCACGTTTTGAAGAATAATAATTTTCTTTAATACATTGAACATTTTGTGTAATGCACTTGAGTCTTGTTTTGCAAATATGTGTAACAAAAAATACTGAAAAAATAGTTATTTCAACCCAGGATCACAAAAAATGGTTTATCTATAGTCATAATAAAGAAAATTAAAAGTTAGGAAGAAAGACTTTAGTTGATGGTTATTAGGGATTAATATTCTTCTATTAATAGGATAATATAAATAATGCACTTAGGAGAAAAAAAAACTTTGCTTGTTAATGATTGTATCCTTATTTATGTTATGATGTTCTTAGAAAAATATATGATTTCCGTTGACATATCAAATGTAGGATTTAATGGTTGAACATTCTCCCTTTTACAAGGTTTTTAACTTAATATGAACTTATCATTGAACTAATAGTAAGACACGTTTTCTTTGTCTTATTCATTCTTTAAATGTAAATGTAATACATTATATTTTTAAATTAATTTATCATTATATTTCTTACATATAATTTTATTTAAAATATTATATTAACTTATGTTTGTATCTAATACTGTAGATATTAGAGACGTAAAGGATAAGTGAATATTCATAAATATGAAACTTATTCATGAAATAATTAAATGTTTTGAAAGGTAATTTGATAATATGAAAATAAAGAGGTAAGTAAATATATAATTTGTAAGCTTTATAAACATAAAGAGGAAAAAAGAAATAATGATTAATCTCTAGCTATTGTCACACTAATGAAAATTCTTTAGTGTTTTTTTTTTCAAACACTTATTCTTACAAGTTTTGATGATAATATATTTTTAAAATGGAATATATTTGACGACTCAAAGCATAAAGTAATTGTAAAATTTATAGAGTTTTGTCTATCACAAAGTAATTGTTATAGAAAATTGTTATAAATTTTGTGGGATTAAATATCAAAGTTTATGCAACAATTTTAAAAATTGATTGACTAAATTGACTATATTTACAGAAATAATTGATTTAACGTGAGTATCTCATTATTTTGCATATTTTGGAAATTGCCAATCCACTTGGTCCATTTACTCATTATCAATTAATATAAGTAGTAACTAAATACAAGAATCATGGTTACAAGTCTTCCAAAAAAATGAGTATTATTCTTCCATGTATCACAATATATTAAGTCTCTCGTAAAAAAACTCTTAACTATAATGAATAAACTATATGTTGATTCTAGGTCAAACGAAATTTCTCAAAATAAATAAATAATTGCACAACAAAATGAGATAAACTGAATAAGAGTTTTATCAAAGTAAAATTAATTATTGTCACAACATGGAACCAAGTCTCATTTGCGCTAAATGATCGTTAAAATTCTTTAATGACATGCCTTTAGACAAAGGATTGATAATCTTCGTAACATTGCTGCATTTTCAACATATGTTGTTGTAGCGCTCTGATCATTTCGGTCAGGTCCTCCAAGTTTATGTTTCTCGTGGCCACCATTGGGTCTCCCTCTAGATCTCTCAATCCCACGGTGGACTCCAAAATATTTTGGGTGTAGAGTCGATAATCGTTACAAAACACTCCTTCACACTTTCTTCATGTCATCCTAGGTTATCTTGAAACATTTTTGGTTAACTTCATTTCACTTTCTTAGTGTCTGAACTCTAAATCATACAGGCGGGTATCTGTCAAAGACAGTCCGACACTCAAGTTAGTAATTTAACTGATAAGAATCACCGTAAAATACTAAATTCATAATAAATGCAATCACCTACCTTTTTACTTTTGACTTTTATTCATAAGAATTGAAATGGACTTATAATTAACAATTTTTACCTTTGACTTTTATTTATAAAAATTGAAATAAACTTATGATTAGCAAGATCGTAATCACGATCCATCATCTAATAAGTAAAGCTTACCAATAATCTTAATTAAATGTTATACTTAATGTTACTTAAGACTACCGTAATTAAAGCTTACCAATAATCTTAATTAAATATTATACTTAAGACTACTGTCATCCCACGTTGCTTTTCAGGTTGGCCATCCGTTATTATGGAAACACGGTATACAATTTCAATTGAATAACTGCAAAAATATTTCAAAGCACTTTTAAAATATCTATTCAATAACTCTTTTTCCCAACTTCTAGAACTAACTTGTTATTTTATTTAGTAACAAAACTAACCTTCTAAAATTACTTCTTTGCGAGCAAAATTAGTAATTCCAAACACTACAATGAAAATGTAGGACACAGCCAATATACCGCTTTTCTTTAAAGGTAAAATATTTAACTAATAGAAATACAATATGATTGCCTTTGAATCGTGCTATATAGATATGATATACTCAAAAGCTTAGAACACTCTAATGTGAATCATTTAGGAAGAGTAATAACACTCAGAAGTACATGTTTTCAAAAGAGTCAAAATAAGGTGAGACACTCTTATGAACAAGATAAAGGCGAACGAACTCGGTTTGTTTACCTGTAATAATGCTTTCTATACTCATCTACGACACCATGGAGTGCTGGATCCACGCTCGCACATGGTAGATAATGATCAAAGATTACCCAATGTTCCTCGCTGATCTCTTTCTCTCTATCATAGGGTGGTCAAACTTCACCATACTGAGTTAAATTTTCCAAGCCTCCGAAAAAGATTTCAAGGTTCTATCATTTTCCATAAATAAACACTTGCTTATATTAGACTCAACATCATTTAACACATTGGGTTGATCTTATTGCTATTTATTTTCATAGAAAACATGAATAAGATTTCCATTAAAGGAGAAAAATTGATCATACTAATCCATCATCTTGAGATATAAACGCAATTCTCATCTCATTCTATTAACATTACAATATGGTGACTAGAACTCATATTCGAAGCTTCTTTCCAGGTGTCGGTTCATCATCATAATGGTGGCCCCCCTCTCCATTTGTGTCCTTTTCCATCTTCTTTCTGGCAAGTATCTTATTGATCTTGTGCAGATCATTATTGAGCTTCTGGTCCTTGTTTTGCTTTCGGGTCTTCCGGCCATCTTGCATCTTCACACCGAACTGGAATGCAGCTTTTGGCATTGCTTCCTTCTGCTCATTGTAAGTTGCCCATTCCTCTTCAGTTTCAAAGTCCCATCTATGAAGGCGACCCTTTGCCTGTTGAGAACACACATTTCAATATTGTAAATTTTCACTTGGCCCATTTCTAACTGGACAACAATAACCCAAAACAAGCAAATTTATCATTTTTTCCCAAGAACTTTTTTTTTCACAAAAAAAATAGTATATAATGGTCGTTGTGGCATGTTGTACACCATTTGAAACTATGTAAAAAGAAATGCAATTGAACCAGATGTTACTTACCCTACCACCCATATCCATTTTGGACAAGTCGTCTTCATCATCACTGTCCACTATCTCACGGTTATATTCTTGATATCCTGGGTAACATTCAGAGTAACTCTCTGAAATGAAGTTGGGATCTTTTTCACGGGCATCTTTCTCCCTCAGCTGTTGAAGTCTCTGGTCATCTCGCTTAAACACTGATCCCAAACCTCGGTCCTTCTCTTCTTGTGTCATAAAGCGTGGATCTTGTGGAAGATTTACACCTCCTTGCACATCATAGGTCTGCATATTTGGTTGAAGATATTGATCTGGGTAAGCCAATTGTTCAGCATACTGGTACTCTTGCCACTCTCCTTGGTAACCGCCAGCCAAGGCTTGTGTTTGCATTACATCGTATCCATTCTGTGACGACAAAGTGAAATCAAAGAGAAACTCAATACACCATCAAACATAATTCAAGCGGAACAAAGCTAAATGAGGAAGCACCAATAAATAAATTTTCTTAATAGTTCAAAGTCTATACAAAATTCTAAGTAATGATGAAACAGAGAAATTTGTTTCCAATCATTTTCACCAAGCATACCCACAATTCAAACCTACTCATACACAGCACTAACTTACAGTTTCTTGCCACCCTTGGGGAAGCATCGAAGGTGGGACAGGACCATAAGTAGGTTCTTCGAAATATGAAGGTTTTTCTTTGTTCCTAGGAGACTCTTCCATGTCCTCGGAGACAGGAGTTTGGCTCAAGTCCTTACCAGGTACATCATAGTCAATACCATCACCTAGAAAAATGTCATCATCCCTAGCAACAGCTGGGCCTTGTTTCTCTCTTGAATGAAGAGGATTTTTCTTTATGGGAGGCGGAGGAGGTGGGATTATTTCTTTTTCAGCTTGATGTTTTGCTCCACTTTCAACCTTTGATGGCTTATCCTCTTTGTCATATCCATTACCAACGGCCAAAATCTTCCCTGCACAGAAAAAAAGGAGAGTTCCAGGAACCTGTTAACTTTTACTTTTAAAAGATCATGCAAGAAAGGATACAATGAATGTTGCCATCCATCATCTTCCTGGTCATCTATATCATATAAAATTTGTCAGGCATTTTCAGGTGTTCTGATTTTTTTTTCTTTTCTTTCTCTCAGTGTCATTTTCATTATTCCTGTGCAGTTATTGCCTTGATGGATATTTTGAAATTATCTATTGATGTCTCCATGCAAAACAAAGGTTTTGTGCGTAGTCTTTTTTTTAGCATGGAGAACAAACGAGGAATGCCCCCATCCACTGACCTGTGCTACTCAAACCTCAGAAAAATTTACAGTTTAATTTTAACCTAAATCATATTTATGCACATATATAAACAAGGTTGTGAACAAAATCAACAAATAGTTTGCATTAAATAACAAAAATATAGAAACGCACCCCAACTTACAAAACCATTGTTGTAAAGAAAATTGCATGAACCAATATCAACTTGCATCTATAAGATAATAACCTAGACTCCCAAATTATCTGTCAATGCAGTATTACCTTTTGCATCTTTTTCCTTCTTTTTCTTCTTTAGGATCTTCCCAGAAGAACCAAGACGAAGATATGACATTATTTTAGCAATTCGATCTAGAACGGATCCATCAACATTAACTGTAACCATTTCCTGTGCAACATAAGAGCAAAGTTAAACTAGCAAAGTTCATATATATAGACTAGTAGTCTGATGCAAAAGAGCACATGTCAAAAGGGAATCGGCAAGATCATAAACCTCTGGCACTGGACAGTCAGCTTTACTACGATGCAAGGTTGTTGGAATATCATGATGGTATCCACCCTCCTACCATATTAAAAAATAAGAATTTTTCAGAAAATTGTTTTCAGAGAATTAAAAGAATAATCTACAAGGATTGGATCAACCAGAACAAAGACATTAGTTTTAACCCAGAACTTACAAACAAAATAATCACCCAAATTTTAGTATAGCTAATCCCTAAGGTGGACTGAAGAACTCTCAGTTCCCTTCTTAGTTTTTACTACAGGTATTATAATGTTCAGGAATCGCATTATTAAAGCATATCCAAATCAAAATAAAGACAAATCCAACATGTAGTACTAGCCACAGGTTAACATCGCATGACTTATTGTCATGAGGATTTTAAATTGGCTAGTCTACAATACTGGAAAAACATATCAAATTTGTAATACAACCATAACATTATGCTATTTTAATAAAATATCTTCACAGTTTAATTTCAAGTATTGACTGTTCTTACAAATCCAACACCCAATATTCACTTCTCTCATATCTCACATAACATATAAGATATATACACACACATACGGGAAAAAGGCATTCCAAGACATTAGATTAGTGGACTGCCGAATGTTCATTTTTTGGGACGCAAGTAAAGCACACTGGCATGCTATTAGACACCCACACCAATTCTAGGATAATATAAGAGTACAAGCAAACAATAGCACAACTTAAATGAGTTCTCAAAACCAGAAATTTTGTTAGCAAAATGGAAATTCTCACCATGTTATAAATAAATGTCATTCGACCAGGGAGGAACATTTCATTTGTCTTACTGATTGTTTGAGGCTTGACGATCCACTGATAAACTGACTGAAACAAATATTAAAGGCATTAATACCAATGGGTCCAAAAATTCATAAACTAGCAGCTAGAATATCAGAACTTAAATTGCTAAAGAAGTATTATCCAGTTCCTATTCTATACAGGTCTACATAAGAACCTTAGCAGTTGCTGTACGAATTGACACTTGTTGATCTTCCTTTGTTGACCTGCAGAAAAACACTACGCATATTAAAAACATAATTTATTAGAAAAAAATTAAGAAATTATAAAAATGCTTTAATCCATAGAAGTACAATCCACTTAAATTGGGTTAGGTCTACCACAACCCCAAACGCTAGCTCAGGTGAGGATTGTCAAAGAATATATGCTCTACCTTGACGATATCTTATAGTCTTAAGTTAAATATAAATAAACCCAGAATGATTACTGAAAATTCTGATTCTAGCTTACCTTGATTTCCCATCAGTATCATCCCCAGCATCTGGTTTCTTCTCTATCTCACTTCTTACTTTGTTCAGCAAAGCATAATCCAAACCTTTGACCAAATGTGTGTGCTCCACATCGCCTAACCAATATTAGTAAAGGCAACAAGATTTATTAGCACAAACATTCCAATATAAGCACATTTTTTTAGCTAAAGCAAAGATCATTCACAAATACAATGACTCCACAATCAGGCTTGCAAACAAACACTCCTTTATAATACAAGAAAATCATAACATAGACAAGAATAAAATAACATACATCAAAAAAGGAAAAGAACATGGAGGCACGTGGCACAGGGAATTCTAAATTCGAAGGACCTATAAACCTGTTCACTAGACATCAGGTCTAAGATACTGAAATTTATAATCGCTTCCATCTATGTTCAGGATAAATTCCACAATTGAAAGTTACTGAATCCTGAATTTCAATACATCTTATGCTTACGTTTCAAAGTAAGCACAAGTCAAAATAATTCGCTTATACCAAACCCTCCAAGAAAGAAAATCTACTACAGAAAGCAGCAATCTTTACACAACAACAGAAAGGGGCTTCAAACCTTTAAAGTTCACCAGAGCGACGAAGAAAACAAATAATAGAACAATACAAACCTCCAAGGTACTTGCTCTTCTCAATAGATAACTTGTGCGCATCAGATGACCTACACAATACCGTAACATAGTTAATGAGCAATCCCAAAAAACAAAAACAAAAAACAGCTTGTTTATCTTCCTTTCGAGTGCTTTAATTGGGAAAAAAGGCGAAACGAAACTTTACCGAAGATCCACAGTACCAGGTGGAGCAACTGCATGAAACCCAAGTTCAGTTTGTTCATAATCAGGATTTTGATCTTCTCTTCGCTCCTTAGCTCGATCTCTGTATTTTGGCACTTCCGGTTCTTCCGGTTTTTCTTCTCTGCATAAATACGACATTACACACAAACATTACGTAACCCCTTGTCCAATCAACAAGTGTTTGTATCAAAAGAAAAACATGAATGCGAATTTGGGTATCACTTACTTGCGGCGAATTGGTTTCTCCTTGTAGTTTCTCTTGTTGGACGCCGTCATGCTGGCGAAGCAATCGAAACTATTGCTCGAGAAATTTGAAATGTGATATAGAGTAACGTTGAAATGAAAGATTGGATTTTCAATTGGGGGCGTTTTGTGGTTAGGGTTTTTTAGGGAATCGACGATTAGGAAGAGGGTAAAAAGAAGAACTTGGCGAGGAAAATCAAGCACAGATTAGTTTAGTTGAAGATGATTCTTATTTTATTTTTTTCATTTCATAGTTATTTTTAATTGTATAAAATAATTACAATATATATTGTTATTTTTTCCAGTAAAAATTTTAAATGATAAGTAAAGTTCAAATGGTATATAAGAAGGTGCATTGATATTTTAATTTATTATATAGTGTAAAGTAGCGTGATTTTTAGATGTTTAAATTTTAGGTTTAATGATAATATTAGTAGTAGTTGTATGGTAAATTATTTAGTTGGTATTAGTTAACCAATATATAACTAATAATGAATAATAGGTAAGATAAAATATTTTTTGAATTAATCAAAATAAACAATCTACTGCTTTTTTTTATGAATGGTTTTAAATGCATTGTCACTACATATTTGAGTAAAAATTGATAGTTCAATTACAGTTTTATTATTAACATCTTCTCCAGAGTTGGATCAGTAAAAAAAGAGATGATTTAAAGGAATTTATTTAGCCATGTATGTTTTATTAAGGTTTAATAGTCCTTATTTTTTTAGTTGCGGTTTTAAAAGTTTAGGATTTAGGGTTTAGTATTTAGAGTTTAGGGTTTTAAAAGTTCATACATTGGGTCTTAAAATTGTATAAATAAAGTTTCATCGGTTAAATTGGCAGAAATGGGATTACCTCCCAACTGACGCAGCGAAGGAATATGTACATTTTCTTCTCTCTATTTTGTTTTCTTGCAATATCCCAACTTTTTCTCTCTTTTCTATATCTTTATTAAATACTTTTTTTTTCTCTCTTTCCTTCCTCCACAACCTCTATCTCTAGAAATATTAACCTCTATCTCCAGAATTATTAGAAAGGTAGAGAAGAGAAATTGAATGAACGATCAACAACACTCACACCGTTCGGTCATTGGAACTCTTAAATATTCACTCACACTGTTCGGTCATTGGCTTACACCATTCTCAACAACACTAATAAAATATTGGAACTCTCAAATATTTACTCACATCGTTCGGTCATTAGCTTACATCATTCAATCACTCACACCATCCGGTCACTCACACCGTTCGATCACTCACACCATTCGATTACTCACATCGTTCGGTCACTAACACCTAGGGATGGCAACGGGGTCGGGTCGGGCACGGATAGTGCCTACCCTCAACCCGACCCGACAAAAAAAAATTTACCATCTACCAGATCCGTTACCTACACGGATATCCGCTTAAAAAATACCCGCGGATATTTTAAAACCCGAGGATATCCGTGGATACCCGCAAATATTTTAAGAAAAATATTTTTATAAAATATTATAACAAAACTTAAATAAAATTACAAAAAATATATAAAATATAATATATATACTAAATTAAATATAAATTAAAATTTAATTTTAGTTATATTTAACCTTATAAAATATAAATTAATGTTAATTTTAATTAAATTTAACTTAATTAAATATAAATTAAATTTTTATTTTTTGCGGGAAGCAAATATGTGCGGGTACCAACTATCCATTACGGATTTTATTCGCGGATATGCGCAAATTTTTTTGCCATCCCTATTGACACCATTCGGTCACTCACATCGTTCGGTAACTAACACCGTTCATTTAATTTCTCTTCTCTACCTTTCTAATGATTCTGGAGGTAAAGATTGTGGAGGAAGGAGAGAAAAAAAATATTTAATAAAAATATAAAAAAAAGAGAGAAAAACATAGGAGAGAAAAGAAAATGTGGAGATTCCTTCGTCACATCAGCTGAGAGTTAACTCTGTTTCTATCAATTTAACATAAAAGACTTGATTTATACAATTTGGACAACTTTAAGACCTAATTATTCACTTTTAAAACTGGGTACTAAACTGAAAAACACTTCACCAAATAAGTTATTAAGCCTTTTATTAAACTACATGTAATATTTGCAACTCGTAATTATTTAGTAAACTTTGTTATATTAAGAAAAATAATATTATAATTGTGAAAAAAATACTTTAAAGCAGCGGTAATATTTTAATAATAAAATAATTATATAAAAGTTTTTATTTCGAAAAGTTGATTTTTATAAAAATCATCTTTTTCTCTAGAAATCATTCTTCTTAATTCTTTCTATTTTTTCTATTAGTTTTTCACTTCATTTATATGATTGAATATTAGAGATGATTTGTTTTTTAAAAGAAATTCTAAAAAATACAATGATCATAAAATTAAATAAAGTAAATTATTGTTTTGTTCCTTTTCAGATATTTTGAGTTACATGTAAGTTTTATAAGAGTATATATGACTCAAAGTTGCTTTTGGTGATTTTTGAAAAATGATACGTTTTGAAATAATGAAATTTATTTATAACTAAATCATTTAATATTAAAATAACTAAGTCTCACTATTTTTAAACTATCATCACTTCTGAAATACCATTTTCTGGGATTTTACATTACTATCTTTTGATTTCTCATCCTTGTCAATGTAGTAGAAGTTGTATGTGACCAAGTTGGTTAAGTTACATCAAGGAGAGTGTAAGGTGGTGTGAAGTACTAATTAAAATGCTTTAGATAGAGATCCAAGATTATCTTTAAATTTTGGCAAAACCTATTCGTGAAAGATGAGTTCGGCTTATCAACAAAATTGATGGTCAGACGAAGAGGGCTATTCAAATTTTAGAAGTGGATGTTTAGGACTAGTGCTTGGGAGAGGTGGCTTGGCTAGTTTATATTGTTGAGCATCAAACCTAATAACGCAGAGGCAGAGTTTAAGTCTAATGAGTATGTTGGAGTATAGTAGGTTGAATGAACCTAGATGGTTGTTATAAGAAAAAGTGAGAATAACATTACTCTTATCTCCCACTTGATGAGTGAATTTTAGAGGACAAAAATTTTTGTTACTAGAGAGAATTTGAAAATCTAAAAAATGGTTTTAGAACAGTGGTGGGTTTTTATAGAAAACTAACACTATAAGATTTTATTATTAAAAATTTAAGTTATATAAAGGTTTTTTAATATGGAAAGTTCATTTTTATAAAAATCACATTCTCTATATAAACCACTCCTTTGAGTTATTTCTACTTTCTCTCTTAATTTTTGACTCTAGTTTTTAGTTTTTATCTGATTGAAGAATAAAGGCCATAGGATTGCTCCTGGAGAGAAGCTCTACAAAATCAAGCGATCAAAAAGTTAAATAAAGTAAGTTCTATTTTGTCCCTTTTTGGGTATTTTTAAGTCTTGAGTCGCATGTGAGTGAATGTGACTCAAGGTTGCTCTTAATGACTCTTTGTTGTTATCTAATCCTAATGATAGTCTTAAAACTTTAATAATTGTTTTCATTGTTTATCTAGGGGATCATTTATTTTTATGATTTAGGAAAATCTTTGTTTAAGGGAAACATCCTTGGCTAAGGTGAGGAAAATTAATTTTAATTAATTATTGATTTTCATTTTATAGTTGCCCTGTGTATGAGAATTTTGGTCTTGAGCCTAGAATTACATATTTCTTAATTAAAATGAGTTGGTTGAAATTGTACGTAAAGTTAGGTGTTTATGCAAGTGTCAACTAGGTTGTTTTTTGTGTTGGAATTTAATCTTTGTTATAAAATTATGAAATAAATCCCTTTGACAATGTTGGTGTTTTAATATCATATCGATATGTTGTTGAATGGTTTGAAGTGTGAGGTGCACATCTTGGTTAGTTGTGTCTTGGGGAAATTTTGAATACATGCTAAGTGTGTCTTGGATTTTGGCATATGATAGAATTTGTTAAATTTGGTAAATTAGACTCAATAGGTTTTAAAATGCTTAAATGATTTGGTATTGAATTTGCTTTGGTCAATATTGTGTTGAATATTTGTGAATTTTACATTCAATTGTGATATACATGAAAATTCTGATATGACTTTGTTTGATGATACCTCTGTGTGAGTCTTAAGTTAAGTAATATGACACTTCTTGATTTAGGAACCTGAAAGTTTATGGTACTTAAGGGTTTAGTACATGGGGATTAACTCAAGAGTGCCAAATTATTAAGGGACACTCGACGCCACTTTTGGACATCAGGCGCACTTAAATTAATGAGTTCTAGGGTGTTGTAGCTGAAATTTTGACAATTGTTTTCAGACAATAGGATCATTGATTCTTTTAGTGATTGAAGTCACATAGACAACAATGATTAATTGTGAGAGTCGATGAAGGTTCGTAACTAGAGTATTGAAAGTAGTCAAACTCATAAGAGATACTGAATTTACCTCGTCATACTCTATAGATCAAGAGAAGCTCAAATGTATTATAGCTCTTAAGATGCCAATATCAAACATGTTTGTGGTTACTAGTATATGTTGGTGCTAGATGAGCCCGGTGTCTGATGTTGACTGTATTTTTGGAAAGTATGTAGTTATTTTACAAATTTGCCTAATATATTATCTTTTTATTTAAAAAGTTATAAATTTTAAATTATCACTGGCTTATTTTATGTGTTTTTTTCTGTCTATTCACCCACACAATCATCACAATCTTATATTATATGTCAAAAAAAAGGAAAATACAAGAAGGATATTTAAGACTTCTCTTATAAACAAATGTATATATATATGTATATATATATATAT